AAGAACAGGAGGCTGAGGGGAGACCTTATCGCTCTCTACAACTACCTGAGAGGACATCATAGAGAAGCAGGTGCTGGTCTCCTCCCACAGGTGATGAATGATAGAACTAGAGGGAATGGACTCAAGCTGCACCAGGGTAGGTTTATGATAGTCATTAGGAAAAATTTTTTGACTGAAAGGGTTGTCAGGCATTGGAATAGGCTGCCCAGGGAGGCGGTTGAGTCACCATCCCTTAGTGTGTTTAAAGGTTGTTTAGATGTGGTGCTTGGAGGTATGGTTCAGGGGTGTACTTGGTAGAGCAGGTTGATGGTTAGACTCGATAATTTCAAAGGTCTTTTCCAACCCGAATGATTCTATGATCCTATTTTGAACTGCACTATGGGTTCAGGAAACCTAGACACAGATGGAGAAGTATATACGGGTACAGCATGGACAGGATTAAAGCTTTAGATTGGTATGAAATTTGAACGTTCTTTTTGCCTACCTCGGCTTCATTGACTGCTTTGCTTCTTGCCTGCACGTCAGCCTTCAAAGAAATACACTGAGGATGCAGGGCTTGTGCTTCTTCACTTATTGTTATTAACTTCTCCTGTATTGCTTTGTACTTTTCTTCTGCTTCATTCACTTCTACCTTTCATGCAAAAATAAAACGACACACAAGTAGTAATGAAGCAAAATTATTTTCTTCAAAACCTCTTAATGCTACAGAAGAAATATCTCTCCAAAGAATCCATCCGACAGGACTTGTTTGCCTTTTTTTTGTTGTTGTTGTTAAGAAAAAATAAAGCAAGTCATTGCCACTATAGGTATGCTAAGATGAAAATTAATAAAGGAACATATTCAGGAAATCAACAGACCACCAAATCTGTGGAGTAAACAGAACCTTCTTATCTAACTCAGGGTTTACTCAGACACAGGACTCTTAATCCAATAAGGCCAAGTACCATAATATGGTAAGAAGTAAAACCAGTATCTGGACAATGTTCCTTCAACACTGCACAGACATGTTCAGCCATAAACTAAAAACACCTCAACTGTAAAACAAATAGACACTTTTTTAAAAAAAAAAAAAAAAAACCAAAAAAATCAATGAAAAACAAGTGCCAATTCAGTAAGTTTGGAGGAGTTTTAACAGACTGAAAAGTGAAAAATAATGATGCCTAGTCTTTCTCTCCAAAAGACCTATTTCATGTGAATCTGAATGATGTCTCTTGATATCAGACACTGATCTTTTCTAGAGGCATTGACAGCCAAGGAAACCTGTACGACAGATCACAGAAAGATGCTCCAAGGTTACAGAAATACACATCAAGTAAGTACTCGCAACAATAAAACAGTTTAAAACACTGTTCACTGGTATATGCAATGCTAGTCATCTCAAATTCCCAGTCAAAATAATATAATCTTTACCTGTAACAAAAGTGTCAGCATGAAAAGCAGACATATATACCCCTACTAAACAACAGAAAACAAAAACGTCCTAATGTTCTTATACAATGGAAGCTGGAATGCAAATGTTACTGTTACATTAGAAGGTGTATAAATGGGAATGTTCTTAGCCGCTTGTGAAAAAGCTAAGACGGCCTGTTTCAATAGCTTACAAGCTAAAGAACGATCACAGCTTAAATATTATTTTTATTCTTGAGTCAAGAAGCCAAGGCTAGAGTGACATATGGTCTAAACCATATATGTACCTGGCATTCTTCTAGCTTCTGAACAAACCTCTTTGTGTTTTGTTCTTCAGCTCTGATGGCTTCTTTGATCGGCTGTATTTCTTTTTCCATCTCGCCTACCTAAATAGAACCATATAATAGCATGTATCAGAAAGTCTGAAGCAGATTGGGAATGATTTAAACTACATTTCATATGAGGAAACACATATTTTAACAAGACATTTACCACGGCCCACGCCATTTTATGTTTCAAATCTTCAAGAAGATTTCGCATGTCATTCACAAACCCAATGCGTTTGTAACATTCCCTTTTGTCATGATAAAATTTCTTAAGTTCTTCAAGACGCTTAAAAAAAAAAAAAAAGAAAAAAGTTCAATTGTGAGAGCAAAAAGATGCGATATAATAGGAAATCTTGGAAAGACTTACTTTTTTAAAATTTAGTGTCACTGAGACCTAGTCAAATCAAAACTGTGTAGTTTAACTCTTATAGCTATTTCAGAGCTCAGATCTGTACTAATCATTGCTTTAACTTTTACATACCCTTTCTCCTTGTTCTATCTGAATACATGTATTTTCTTTAGTTTTCATAATAAATGAATAATCTTCTTTCATTTGTTCCAGCTGAGTTGCCTTCATAAAAAACTGAAAAGGAATAAAAAAATGCAGATGTCAGATTCAGCAGCTTATCTAAGTGAACTTTAAATAATTACCACAGAAAGACCATTCATCCCAATCTCCATGCATGCTGAATGATACCCAAAGTAAAATAACTGGTGGGGTATTTCTGAATAATGACCTAACTCAGCAGTGTTCTATTTTTTTTAATTTATCAACATCTTTAGAGAAAAGAAACTTAAAAAAAATTGGTTTTGCAAGTGGATGACTGCTACAATCAGATAGTGGGTCTGGCTGGGATAAGCTAAGCTCCTTCATAGGAACCGTTACGGTGCTGTGTTTTAGGTGTGTGACCAAGCAATGCTAATAACACACTAACGTTTCAGCTGCCGCTGAACGGTGTTTGTATAGCACCAAGGCCTCCTCTGTTTCTCACTCTGCCATCCCAATCAATAGACTGGCAGGGTGCACAACAGGTTGGGAGGGGATACAACCAGGCAGATGACCCCAGCTAACCAGACACTCCATCCCATAAAACACCATTGTCATGGCTTAACCGCAGCTGGCAACTAAGCCCCATCCAGCCCCTCGCTCATTCCCCCTGGTGGGATGGACGAGAGAATTGGAAGGGTAAAAGTGAGAAAACTCATGGGTTGAGATAAAACCAGTTTAATAAAGCAAGCGCTGCACATGCAGGCAAAGCAAAACAAGGAATTCATTCACCTCTACCCATCGGCAGGCAGGTGTTCAGCCAGCTCCAGGAAAGCAGGGCTCTATTATGCATAAGTGTTACTTGGGAAGACAGTTCGAACATCCCCCTTCCTTCTTCCCCCAGCTTTTTATTGCTGAGCATGATGTCATATGGCATAGGACATCCTTTTAGTCAGTTGGGGTCAGCTGTCCCAGCTGTGTCTCCTCACAAATCCTTATGCACCCCCAGACTCCTCGCTGGTGGGGTGGTACAAGATGCAGAAAAGGCCTTGGCTCTGTGTAAGCACTGCTCAGCAATAACAAAAACGTCACTGTTTTCAGCACAAATACAAAACGCAGCCCCATACTAGCTACTATGAAGAAAATTAACTCTACCCCAGCCAAAACCAGCACAGTCATGCTCAGCAATAAAAAGGGATAGGAGAGGGTTTAGGGGGTTAACCAACTTTTGCTCAGGAACTGGCTGGGCACTGATCTACCCATGGAAGGTGGTGAGTGATTGTCTTTGCATCTCTTGTTTTGTTTTGCTTTCTTTTTCTTTTCTTCCGGCTTTTCCTTTAATTTTTAAACAACTTTTATCTCAACCCACATGTCTTGCTTTTTACCCTTCCTTTCCTCTTCTCCCATCCCAAGAGGTGGGCAGCAGGGAAGAGAAGTGAGCAAGCAGCTGAGCAGTGCTTAGCTGCTTACCTGAGTTAACCCACAACACTTAGACCTGCTTGAGGGTAGGAAGGCTCTGCAGAGGGACCTGGGCAGGCCAGACTGATGGCCTGAGGCCAATTGTACGAGGTTTAACAAGGCCAA